CGGCGGTTGTTTGCTGTCGGCAGAGCGGGCAGCAGGAGGTGACACCCTCCCGCCGCTTCAGCGCTGCCCCCACCGGGAAGGGCTAGGGCGCCTACCCGGGGTGGGGGTGTTACGGCCGCTCCGCTCCGAAGGACGCGGTTGCTGTCAGGCTTTTCCTCCCGTGCCGAGCCTGCGGGGGGGCGAGTCTGTGTCGGTGCAGAGGGGAGGGCAGGTACAGCCCCAACTTGAGCGTGTCTGCGGAGCAGCTGCTTTTCCACGCGTGTTTAGTTAAGTGTGAGCTCCTGCTGCTGTTTTCCGAGGAGCTGGGAATAGGAGGAACGGGCCGCTTCGCTTCCTGGGATGTGAAGCGTGCTTACGCGTGAGCCTCCACTGGCCGCTTGAAAAGCTTTGGCTGGCATCCACTTTTGAGTGCTCAGCAGTGATCCTCTGCCCAGACACGTAGTGCCCCATCTTGCTGTTCCAGACTTGATGCTTGTTTGACTTGAATTTATTCATTGCCTTAAATTTGACAGATCTTGACTGGTCTTGTTGAGGTAATGAACCTCGACTGAGGTTGATTGGTGTAGAAGAGAGTAAAGCTTACTTGCTAGTAAGGCTGCACGTTTTGTATCTGCATAAGAACATAAATACAGTGGGGTTTTGTTGGTGGTTTTTCTGTCTTTCTGTGTGTTAAGAGTGATAGCGTGATCAGAATAGCTGGTTACTGAGTGTGCCGTTGGGTGCCCTGAGAGTGGGCTAAGTAACAGGTCCTGCTGGTGGAACTGGTGGCCGCCTTCCTCCTGTAGCACAGGCGACTGCAGGAAACGAGGTGTGGACAATGTTGAGGCCGTTCTCTCCTACAGCTGCATTAATCCTCTGCTACCGCTGTCAGTGGGTAGGTCACAGTGCTGGAGCATTCCCAAGGTTCTTGGGAGGATTTATTTGGCTTTGACAGTGCTGGGCTCAGTCACAGTTTCTGTTGGTCATCACACAACTAAAATTGCACAGTGGTTCTGATATGCAGAGAGTTCCATAGCATCAGGGAGGGGGCCTGTGGTCTTCCTGGAGGTAGCTCCTGTGTCTGTAGCTTGCTTTTATAAATACTAGTACCACCTTGCACCCTTCAGAAGTGCTTCCCTGCTCTTACCAAGATCTGTCACTGAAAACAGGAGGAGAAATTACTGGGTAGCTGTTCAGTTATTGATGTTTTTGTCTGTCTAAAGGGAAGTCTGAGAGCACGACTTCAGAGAACAGTGCTTTTGGATTGGCTGGGGTGGTTGCTTTAGGGTTTTGTATTACTAAGGTTAGGATTGCAGCTGGTGCACCTGCAGTAACTTGTTAAATGTGGAATATTATTTGTGGACTAGCTTAGGCAGCGATTGTGTCTCGTAGCTGCAGTTTAAAGCCTGCCCAGTTGTCAAAAGAGTTAAGAGGGCACCTCTAGAGTGCTGCAGGATGGAAAACCAGTGACTTCAGAGAAGGCCATCAAGGCCACCAAGGGGGAGAAAAATACATCATGAAGTGATAAACTCGATAGAAAAAGAATTAGGAGTATTTCCTTTGTTACTGGCAGGTGAAGAACTGACTGGCTTACTGATAGAAACACATAGAGACCAAAAGCCATAGCATGAATTAATCTGAATAAATACACCTTTACTGTTCACATTTATTACACTTTATAATAATTGATGCATTAGTAGGGTGAAGAGCTGTCCCTTTGTTTCAGGAAAGATTTATTGGTTTTAATCTATAGTTCAAAGGGTATAATTTCTGTTAGATTGCAGGAAAGTGCTGAATAATGGCTACATCCTGCATTGATATGCAGTCACATTTACTCATGCACATGCAGGTTTAAAAACAAACAAAGCCTCCTAAACGCCTTGATTGTAATCTCTGATCGTGAAAAAACAAAGCTGCAGAACAGTGAAGTGGTGTAATACTGTCATGGCCTGGTTTTGCAGTATTTATCCAGTTACTTTAGCACTAGGAAGCCCTGATGTATTTGGGGTTGCATAGTTTTTCTACCCCACTATTGATTCACAGTGTTGAAGGACCAGTCTTGTTCTAATCTAAGAAATGAGAGTATCAAAGTCTTAGAAGCCTTGACCAAGCTTTCAGTTTAACACATTATCTTGCTCAGTGGGATAAGAGTGGATTGAGTCTCCATAACACCTCTCCACGAATCACTTGCTCTCCCCCACAGCAGAGGTACAGCTGACTGCTAAACTTAAATTACTGTAGCAGCTGTGAGATTCATCATAGTTATTAATTGGTTAGCATTTCCTTTGTTAATCTTTTTTCCTTGTTTGAGACCATTTTTTTTTTGATGGTTGGTAATGTGAATAACAGAGTCCAATCTAGTGCTTGCTTTCCAAATGTGTCTGGTTTGTTATCTTGAACTGAAAACAAGATAACTTTAAGTTTATGCTGATAGGAAAACTTTTCTTTCATGTGTTATGTTGCAGATCAGTTTGACGGAAGTTGTGCTAAATGATCTTCAATTTTTTTAATATTTGCAAAATACTTAGGTTTGGAAAGTGCTATTTAATTCTGGATAAACAGAACAATCTGAGTACTGGAATAACATAACTACTCCAGCAGGAATACACCAGCCCTGTAATGGGATATCTGTGCCTCTTTTGGAGATGCAGAAGAAAATCATTGCTCTAAAGCAATGTTTCTTTTTATGGGCTGTGTTTCATGTATTGGTCTGTATTTACAGAACATGTAGCTTTATTTTGCTTTTTACCTTCTGTGCTTCATATCTGAGAAAAAGGCTGATGTTAAGATGGCATAGTGATAAAATAAGCCTTTTTTTCAGTGTTCCTGGCAATAATCTTTAACTTAAGCAGAAATAGATGTTGATATGATGAAAAAGGCTAGATGTTGTTTATTTAATTTGGTTTTAAACAATACTAATGTTGACTTATGTTCATCATGTTGAAAAAGTTAGTCACTAGATTCTTTCCCAATTCCCACTTTTTAACTTCCCCACTACGTCTGCTTCACCCCATCTGCACCTTTGTGGATCTGGGTTTTGATGCAGATGCACTTTTGTCCTTCAGCTTTAACTGTCATCAAAAATTTGTCACCTCGTGTATTTGTATACTTATGATTGCACAGAGTACTTTAGTCCCCAAATTATATTTGAAATACAGTCTGGAAGAAACAAGAAGGAAAAATTAAAAGTTAAACTAAGCAGATGAAAAATCTTACCAGTTCACGTGAAATGAGTAAATATATTCAATATGGTATAAAACATGAGGACAAATGAAATATAGGAAATCTTAGCATTTGGCTTCAGTCAGCCACTTTGCTAATGGTGAGTGAACTTACATGGTTGGCATTTAATGATTTGAGAATGAATCACAATCAGTTTTCCCTTTCAAGTTGATCAATACTAGTTAGTCATAATATAGTAGATACTTTTTTCTTGAACCAAAGTACCTTATTTTCACATAATATGCCCATATTTCCTGAATCCTAGTTTTATAAAAATATTGGTATTCCTGCCAAGATTAGCATGGTGATTGTACAAAATAACTATTTTTATTAGTTTGCAGACTGAAATCATCGGTCAGCTTTCTTACTCGACCAGATCGACCAAATCTGGCTTATCATAGACTAAAAGGCAGGAATCCAGGGGTTATTTTCCTTCCAGGCTTCAATTCAAATATGAATGGTCAGAAGGCAACTGCCCTTGAAGATTTCTGCAACTCTCTAGGTCATGCTTTCATCAGGTACATTCAGAGTATTGTTCTTGTGAAAATGAAACTAGTATCATGCGTTGAGGGAAGGGGTTTTCAAAAAAATGTAGACTTTGGCATTTGGATTGGAATGCATGCTGTGCCTGTCGTTTCAAACATAGGATTTCTGTCTGTAGCGAGACTGGGGTAAATCAGGAGAAGGTGTTCTGACAGTAATTCAGAAAATTCTCTGATAAATTTCTGTGTTCTAGCCAGTGCTATATGTTACATTAAGGCTGTAGGCACAGAAATGAAAAATAAAGGACCCAGAGTTCTGATATTTTAAGTTACCACTGTAAGCATGCTTCTTAACTGCCAAATCTTAAGTTTCCCAATGTTGTCTGTGATTTTAGAAGAACATGCACATGCTTGGTGATACTCTCCGTTGACAGACTAGGGTGAATGCTGAGTTTCACAAGTCCTCGTATTTGGGGATAGTGTTTGAAAGAGATCTTGTATGTTTTAAAATACCTTCTAAACTGAAGTATTTTGGGTTTCTTGTCTGGGAAATCTTTTTTTTGGGGGAAGTATTATGGTAAATTTGCATATTCTTACATTAAATGATAGGAGAACACTGTATCACTTAATTGCATGCGTTTTGTCTAAACCTCATTTCATGCAATTTCTGGTTGTTAGTGATACAAGTAAGAAAATATTCAGTGTGTTATCTTGTCCCCTGCTTGATTTGTTTAAATGGTACTGTTTAGTTATCTTCTATGTTACTATAGACAGTACTGTGACTTTCAATCTGATGGTTATTTTTTCAGATTTGATTATACAGGATGTGGAAGTTCACATGGTAAACTTGAGGAGTGTACGATTGGGAAGTGGAGAAAAGATGTTTTGTCTATACTGGATGAACTTACAGATGGACCACAGGTTGTATTTTATTTTTAAATATAGAATGCTTTTTGTCCTCAAGGTAGAACATTGATTAAAAATATGCCATAGTAGCTCTGGTCAAAAGTAGCTTCTATTTAACAGTTGACACCTGCCCTTTTTCAAGCTCAGTCATTTGGGAGGTCATATTTGTAAGACCTCTTTTGCAAGCAGGTAGATGACAAAATCATGGAAACGTGGGTTGGCAGGACCTTCTGGAGGCTGTTTATTGCAGCCTTCTGCTCAGAGCGGGTCTGTCATCCCAGGGAGTCTGAGGAAGCCTCATGGTGGAGGTTCCACCTGATAGGGGACAGGGAATTGTCCAGAGTGGCACAGCCCTCTGCATGAAAAAGTATGTCACTGTCCCATGCTGATGCATTAATTAAATAATTTGCAAGAATTTTACTATATAAGATACTCTGTACGATAAAATAGCTTTAAAAAAAAAATCAGAAGCAGCAGCATTTGACTTCTTCAGTTACTTTAGAAATGACTGTGAGAAACCTGAAATCTCCTGCAACCTCAAAATACCTAGTATTGTGTTTAAAATGGTTTTGGATTATGATTTGATTTTGTTGACCTCTTTCACTGTGCTGAACCTTTACCATGTGCATTTATATTAAGAAGGAAACAAAGTATGAATGTGATACTGAATTGTTTCCACTCTCATTTTGTTTACAGTGTTTCAGTCTCAGACAGCAATAACCAGCCATGCCAAACTAAAAGAATAATAAAATACCAGATCCTGTGGTGCTTACTCAGGCAAAATTTCCACTGGAGGTGACAACAGTTCTGCCTGGGTAAGGACATCAGGATTATGCCCAAGGTTTAAGTAGTTAAACAAAATGAACACTGATACTTTGTGAAAGAAGAAAAAAATTATTAGCTGTTTCCTGTAAAATAATATCTCCTTTTCTCTCTTTCAGATTCTGGTGGGCTCCAGCTTGGGTGGATGGCTGATGCTTCATGCTGCAATAGCACGCCCAGATAAAGTAGCTGCTCTAGTTGGAGTAGCTGTAGCAGCAGACCATCTTGTGACAACTTTTAAGAAGCTTCCCATCGAGGTAAATATGATGGTTGGCTTTTGTGCAATCTAAAAATCTATCAAGCATTTAAGAAGTTCTGTTGTTCAAACTGTACTTTTCTTGAAAGTCTTCCAGTAAGTTTTCTGTGTATGTGGTGGAGGTAAGCTGAAAATTTACATTAATCTGAAAGTCTACAAAATTTTGTGCTTTTCGTATGAAGCTAGTGTAAGCACTACCTAGAATGTGTTTTTATTATTACTGTGGCATATAGGATGTGAAGTCAGACCCCTGCTGTTCAGCAGTCCATTAGATTTCAATGTTGAATATCTTATATTTGCATTCAAATTGGATCCTTGTGCTTTCAAGGATGGAGAAGTAGCTGCTAAAGTAATTGAGATGACATGGGATGAGTCTGACACAGGTTGTGTGTGTAGAAAGGGAATTATTCAGATTAGCCTGTTTATAAAGACTAGAAGATTTAGATAGTGGGATGTCTCTGAGTTGCTTCCTTGATGATGATGTCCAGTCTTCAGGAAAGTAAATCAGGTGTTATAATGTGACAAATTCATACTTTAGAATAATTAAAATATTTCCGTGGTGGGTTTTTTTCTTTTGCAAGGCACTTCGTAGTGTCATTATTACTACTTAAAACTAAGGTGAGATTCTGGAAATACAGTATTTAGATGCAGCTATTGTGGCAAAGACTTGAAAAGATTGATCGCTGGCAAATTAATTTTTCCTAGGATGTTCTTTGTTTAAAGTTCAGTGAACTGATTGGAGCTAAAGAGATCATGGTTCATGGTGGCTATACATCTTTTTATTTCTGATAGATTCTGGCTGAGAACTTAATTTCATTGGTGAATCCTAACTAGATTAATTTCCAGGAGAGATGTGCAGAGTAGCTTTTGTGACATGGTAGGGGGTTTGCCTTCTCGGATGCTGGAAGCAATCAGGAATATACCTTCTCTGCTAATAAAAATGAACAAAATGAAATTTTATGGCTGGGGAAGTTTTGTTGCATTTAGAGCAGAAATAAGTTGAGACACTAAAGAACTCATAACATCTGTCTTGTCTATTCTTCGCTCTCTTTTTTATAGGCACAAAATGAAATAGAAGAAAAAGGTGAATGGAAATTTCCAACAAAGCACAATGAGGAAGGGTATTACTCCTTGAAATATGACTTTATCAGAGAAGCAGAAAATCACTGTGTGCTAAATAGTCCTATTCCGATAACATGTCCCATACGGCTCATTCATGGCATGGAGGATGGTGATGTCCCTTGGCAGATCTCTATGCAAGTTGCTGATCGTGTTTTGAGCAAAGATGTGGATGTTATCCTCCGCAAAATTGGCCAACATCGGATGAGTGAGAAGGAGGATACAAAACTACTTGTGAATACTGTTGATGATTTAATTGACAAGCTGGCAACGCTAGCATGAACTGCAGAGTAGCATATGTACATGGACTCTACACCTGACTCTTTTTCCATGAGTAGCAGAAACCTTGTCCTTAACAAGATGATGCCAGGTCTGTGACTATCACAGTAGGAACTGAGCTTTACCTGCTGTTTCCTTACCTCTGTTTCGTAAAGACAGGTATTTTATTAATGCTGCATTTGCACAGACAGTCCAAAATGTGGAGGAGTGCTGCTGTTGTATTTAGAACCTCTCCTTCACCACTTAAAACCTTTTTTCACAAGCTTCCTACACTTTTGTACCAAAATGTTGATTCATTTTTGTTATTATTGGCCTGTATGGTAAAACTTCAGTTTCCAGTGACTTTGACACCTTTTTGTTATTGTCCTTTTGCTGTAACATTCTTGTATCTTATGTCTGGAACCATTTGTGCAAGACAAAATACAACTTAAGTGTTTACTAAAGTTATTGTTATTAGAAATAGTGAATAACAGGAAGCACAATAAACAGATTTCAGATAAATTATCGTATTGTCCTTCAGTACTTTTAAAACTGAAAAGTGGAAGGCACACCCTGATGGTGTGCTTGGGGTACTACATAAAGAAGAAGTTAACTTCTGAGAACACAGGGCCTCAAAGTGCAGGTGGAGGATCAGTGGGGTTTATGTCCTCTTTTCCAGGCTCTCTTGTAATAGTTAATTTGTGGGTCTACTATTAAGGGAGCAATATATAATCTTGGTGGAAACTGAAACTGAACTGAAACAGGGACTCTTTTATAGTGACCTCTTTAAAGTGGGGGGTGCAGGACCATAGGGCATCGCTGCCTCTTTTTTACGACTTGAGAACTGTAGGTTATTAGAAATAGTGTCTCCCAGAGTTAGGAATTTGAGGTGCACAATTGCAAGCCTGAAAACCTGTAACTGAAACTTGATAGTTGGATAATTCTTGTAATGTAAATCTTCAGAATTTAATAGTAAATAGATTTAATTGCAAATGTGACTGTTACCTGTTTTTTTTTTTAGTCCAGAAATATGGTACCATTCATAACTTGAGAGGAACTTACTTAGGTGAGAGGCTGTAATTAGTTCAGGCTGGCCTTAATATGAAGCATCAGTCAAAAGTATATGGTTGTTTCTGGCTTTAGTATTTTAAGTAGTAAATGGCATCACTATTGCTACCTTAAAAGACTAAAGCTCCTGGGGGAAAGGGATTTCTCGAGGGTTTGTTGTTTTCAGTGTTAATATTGTCAGTAGAAAGAAGTACATTGTAAGTAGAAGTATGTTGTATGGAGCTTTGTTGAGGTAATGTTTTTTATTTAGCAAAAAAGCCAAACAACTAAAAAAACCAACACCAACAATAAAACAAAAAGCCCTAAATTTCTGATGAGTTCCTGTGAAGTATTACTACCTTCTTATTTAGGCTTCAGTACTGCAAAACCCAAGAAACTGTGATGTAAAAAGTTTTGAATTCTGGTATGGGAGTAAAAAAGATGCCTCTAGTTTAGATGCAAACCTTGTAATTCAAGTGTACCAGTTCCTTAATTCAATTAACCTAGCTCAGGATACTTGTTTGAGGAATTGCAACATTCCATGAATTCTTGTTTCCAAGTATTTCTGTTTCTGCAGTAGACTTTTTTCTGTTTGTGAGAATATGCAATTTACTACTTTCTTAAGCTTTAAGACCTTTTGAATGTGTTTTTTACTTTTGAGAGCAATTAGTTCAGATAATTTCGGCAAATTGCTTGGCTATTCCTGAAGGTTGGGCTGTGTTCAGGTTTATGTATTGTTAAACAGTTGTTGGCTTTACATATTCATGTGACTTGTATCTGATAAAACCTGAAAAGTAGATTTATGTGAATTTTAAAGACATAGTCAAATCAAAATTAAGTTACTTCAAAACTTTCTGCTCTTGGCTTACTATGACTTTTTTTAATCCAATTTTGTCACATCTCTTAGATTGTGTTGTCTGTTAATGGAAGAAAAAGTTGAAAAAAGTGGAGTGCAGTAATTCCAAAGTAATTTTTATTAAGACCCAAAGTTATAAGTTGTGATAGATGTACTTTTTGTTCATACATATTAAAGTTATTTCAGTAGCTGAAAATTGTTGAGCCTTTTTTTTTAAATTGGGAGTTATACCTATAAACATTCAATTTTGCTCTTAATACTTCATACAGGGAAAAGTAATTCCATTTCTTTATAAACTGTAGCTGCATATTTCTCTTGAAAGAATTGCATTGTAGTCTTTCAAAGATTCACCTTAGCCTTTATTAAATAATTGATTTTATGGCTAAGGTCTTTTTGTTACAATGCCTTAGAGCAAGATAGTTGAAAACAAATGTTGAGGGGAACAGATGTGTGAGTAGTTTTCAGGGGTTTTGTTTTGGGTTTTTTTTGTTTGGTGTTGAGTTTTTTTCCCCATTATTCTGTTGTAATAACATTAGGTGGGAGAAGGCAGCATAACAGGATTGACATAACTGTTGAGGATACAAAGCTGCAGCATCAGTTCTCAAACCACAGCATTACTGAAACTTAATCCTAGGGAGGGGTTTTTTTTTGCCAGTCTTTTTCTAGTTCTCTCTATTTTCTTTCTCTGCTTGCTAAATGGAGATAAGTGGTAGCGTTTACATTATAGGTACACCCAAAATTTGCTACATACAGCGCAAATGCAAAGTCAGAGATGAGACTTCTGTCATAGAGACAGTATTCTAGGTAGTGTGCTGAGATGCAGAGAATGCTAGTGCCCTTCTTTCTGTTCATTTACCATTTTCTAAATTCAATTTATATTCCTTAAATACAACAGGTGACTTTCAGGTAGACTTTATGCAGACAGACATTTTCCTTGTGTTCATGCTGGAAATTGCCAGAATTTTGATTACTGTCAATTTGGCATGTTCATAATCCTGGAAGAAGGGATAGATGATAACCAGGGAGATGTACATCCTACCTGTGACTAGCTCTTGACCTACCAGGAGGTTTTGACAATCTGGCATAATGTAATATTCACATATTATGGTGTCATTCCGATTTTATTTGGTACTACATTTTGTCCCCTGAGTTAATGCTGGTGGCATCTCTTTCATCTTTGCCAGTAGATGTCTACAAAGTGAATTATTTTCAGTATTAGTCATGTTTAAAAACAAGTATTTCCTTCCTCTAGAAATACTGTATTAAACTAAGGTATTATTTGGAAAGGTCTGCATGGTGCAAATTTTCAAAATCCTTTGTAATGAATTCCTATGTTTTGTTTTGTGTTTTTGTTTTGTTTTTATACAGATTTCTAATTTCCTGCCAAATAGAAAGTATCTTTTGTGAACATGTAACATAGTTTCCTCAACAATAAGCTCGATTCACACAGAATGATCAGTTTCTTATGCTTTCAGACTTACCAACTCTTATGCTGCCTGGGGCCGTTAGTTTTCTTTGGATACCTTAATCTACGCTCAATTATTTTCAGTAGCACTCTTATCTTAAGTTGTTAGTGTTCTGTATCTTTCATTTCTGACAGATCTGAAAATGACTTCTGGGCTCATCTGTCACTGAGTATGGTACGGACCCGTTGGGCTGACGCTGCTGTCACAATTCACGAGAATGCTCTGGACACTGAGCAACTCAGCTGCTTGTGTTGATTTTTGATCAAACAGCCCTAGCTGAATAAACACCTCGAGGTATTAATCTTATATGTAATGGCTAAACTACATAACATTAACTCTGGCTGAGGAGTTAGTTACAGTCACTCAAGTTTCGCGAGTAAATAACAAAAAGTTGTTATAGCTAGGCAGGAAGCTTGATTAGCATATAGTACTGAAGAAGCAGGTAACAGTTTTCCTTAAAAAGAAACAAAAGTATTACCAGCTGACCTCAACTGTCCCTAGTCCTTACCAACATTCTAGTTTCAGATCTATTGCAAAATCGAACTACTTGAGACTTAACTTTGACATAAACAATTCTGCTTTCTAAAAAGGGAGACGATGGTGAGACATGCCTTCCTGTGTTTGAGATTAAATTTTGTAATAGACCAGTATGTGGTGAAAGCTCTCTAAAGCTTATTCAACTTGTTTCCTAATAACCAAGTGCTCTTATTCTCTGTATATTGAGCTGTACTAATGCAGTTTTATATACATGTATTTTTATCTTAACAAGTATTATACTTGTTCTGTCTCTTCTGTTGTTTGCCTCTGTATTACACACTTAAGCTTTTTTTTTTTTGGGGGGGGGGGGTTAAATGCTATCTAAGTGTTTCATGTAAATTCAGTTTAGCTGATTTATTTTCTCTTCCATCAACACTAACCCCCCCCCCCCTAGCTGGATAGGCCTTAGAAGCCTCCTGCTGTTTCATTTGTATGTTAATTTTGATTGTGTGCTCTCTTGGACATGCTGTTATTCAGTGGGGCTAAGAGATTTATGGGGTACCATACTTTTCATAGCAAATTAAAACGTGCTTAGAGAGAATCTTTCATCCAGCTATGTGTCTGCAGCTGCTCAAATGTTTCCAATGCTCTGGTCATACTGCAGTACAGAGTTACAACATTTTTTTGAACCTATGCTAGTCAGAGTTGCTAAATCAGGTCAGTGCTTGTCATTTCTCCTTGGTCCCTATCCTCTCCTCTGAGGTGGGGGAAATGGGAGGAATATTGTGTCCTGGGGAAAAATGAGATTTGAACTAGTTTGATTTTTAAGTTGTGCTGTTAAAGGGAGGCCTACCTTACCCTTTCAGATTATTTTTTGTTTTAAAAACAAGGCTAAAAAAATTATGTTAAAGGCTTCCCTGGAAATAGAAGAGGATTATGTGTTTCACCTGTCTCTTAAGATCAGTGGTCTGTGCTTTGCACTGATGTACAAATTCAGTCAGCTGTGTGAGAATGAAGAATTTTACTAAACCTTGGTGAAAATTCAACAACTGTGTAAAGTATACGTACACAAATGCCAACAATCACTGCACGCTCTTGCCCTTCTGCCCTTGTTCTCAAGACCAGCAGGGACAGGGAAGGCAGAGGGAACTTGGCTCTTCTGTTTAATAGAAGACAGCTTGCTATGTGTGTGTTTTTAATGCCACTGTGCATGTTGCTTTTCTCCTGGCAGGTGTTTACTAGGGCAAGATATTACTGTAACGGTTGGGAAGAAGAGACAGAGATGGACAAAAGATTTACTTTTGTCACAGATTTACTGCTCATAGATCAGCTTATGTAGCTCAGATTTACTTTGTGACTATAGGACCTCATCTCACTTCAATATATATTTGCCTAGAATAGAAGAATATTAGTTACAGCCCTGGCCGTGGTCTGCATAAATCTAAATTATAGGACCTATTGCAGTCTAGTTGCAGGCTTGACCTTGTATTTCTCTTTCAAGTCCTGCATATGTATGTTATATGGTCCAGTGCTTCTGTTCCATTAAAGAGAAATGGGCATCCTCCATATGACACAGTAATTGTAGCTTGTGATCTGCTAGAGGATGAGAAGGGATAGACATGTTCTCATCCTGCTACAGTGTCTTGTTTTGTGGTTGGCAAGGAGCTTCAGCTAGCTCTGCGTTTATATTCGGCATGAAAAACAAATGACAGCTGCTAAAACTTCCAGTCACTTGGTTCTGAGACTAAAATACAAATTTAAAATGTTTTTAGGCTGGCACGTGAAAGGTTATGTTCTTTGGGGGCCCTTTGACCTGCACCATATTGTCCGTTTGCCTCCCACGTGGCAACACGAGAAGGTCACTGCTGCCGGTTGGGGTGGAAGCAGGTGCTCCTATCTGCAGCAAAGGTATGCTGGACAGTAGCACACTAAAGGGTTGGAGTGATGGCAATGGCCTGCCCAGACTTTGATCCTGGAAAAGCAATTCCTGAAGGACATGGGCTGCCTGGGAACAGGTCTGGGCCTTACGAGAATCCTTTGCTTTGCTTCTGTATCGAATGTGGTTTGCTGGCAGAAAGTATGCCAGAGCATGCTAGTTCTTAGGACAGTAACTCTTGAAAAAGCCTCCGACAGCAAAGCTAAATCCCTAATCATAAAAAGAAGCATTTATTTAGTTAGGAGATTTATTTAGTTAGGAGATTAGGAGATTCTGTTTTGTTTGTTTGATTATAAATCTTGCTGTCTGTTTTGACCTATGTTTCAGTGAAATAAAGTTGTTACTTCTTTTCTGTTGTAATGTGTATTGCAATGCATAAGTTTCAAACCAAGGTAGTTCTCAGAAGGTATTGTTTATGTTGGGGACAGATAAAAAATCGGTATGATGAAATGTGTTGGTTTCCTTTCAAGGAGTCTGTCAATCCAGCACAAAAGATCTTGAGACTTAAAATACACAATTTACCTCCAAGGTCATCGTGAATATCAGGACTGCTGGCAATTATATCTACAGGAGTTGGTTTCCAGTGGTAAGTGGTAACTGTTTCTGCCTGCAGAGTGGTCAATGACTTATGAATCCCAGAAACACTTATTATT